GGAAGCCACCGTCACTAAACTGGACCAACCATCACATTTCCATACCATTACTGAACCTTTCTTTCATGGCTTCTCACTTGAATAAGCCATCGACCGTGGTAGACTTGTTATTTTTATTAACGATTCACCTAAAATTCATTATTTAATTTAGGTTGTAATTATTTTTATAATACAGAATGAAAAAGTATCAGAAAATAAATTATTTGCAGACGCATCGGCGGTCGCATGCGACGCGGGTTGAGAACCCCTGCTGTACGGGAAGAACACAGATTGAGAGGCTTTTCATATACAAGTGTTAAGAAGAACATTTAGACATCAGAACGGTACGTAATTAGAAAGGGAGACAATTATTTAATAAGGGCTTTCAACGAAGATCCAAAAAGGAAGGATGTGTAGTATTTGAGGTTTTCACCGCGGTGAATCCGAAGATGACTTGTCTTCTGGGTTCTAGCGCCGCGTACCAGACTACACGGCGCTAAAACCCAGAAGACAAGTCATCTCAAGAAGAGTGAGATCGACGGGACACTTAGCATGTATCGCCGAGACTAAGAAACGAACAGTAGAACATTTTGTTCGGAAATTTTCAAAATGAGAAACCACAGAGCGATCTAGGTATAAATAATATGGAAATTAATATTAGAGAAATTGGGTGTGGACTGGATTAAACCGGCTTATGATACGGTTCAATGACGGGATTCCGAATGCGCGCGGAATTATTTCAATTGTAATTTGCCTTAAAATAATGCTGACAGATAAACACATGAAGATTTCAGTCATCTGGGTTGTTGCGCTGTGTAGTCTGGTCGATGTTAGTCAACGTTTCAGAGATCATAATGCCTCTGTCATCAGGGCGATGTCTGACGGAGGCAGTATGACCTCTGAAACGTTGGTAAACATCGACCAGACTATACACAGCGCAACAACCCAGAAGACGGAAATCTTCATACTCATCGCCCTGATGACGGAGGCAGTATGACCTCTGAAACGTTGGTTAACATCGACCAGACTACACGGCGCAACAACCCAGAAGACAGAAATCTTCATACTCACCGCTGTGAAAACCTCGAATCTTACAGATAAACACATCTTTCACGCATACTCTTAAATGTACTGATTATTCGAAAGATTTCGTGAAAATTTTTTTTGAAACCACTGAGGATGTTTTAAATAATGAAACAGACATAAAAACGAAAATATCGAAGTGGTTCTCCCTTAAACCTTTCCATGGCAAACGGATATGAATAAAGACGCAGAAGTTAAAGGAGTCTTTTTTTTTTAATGTCTGTAGCCGAAGAAGGTCAAACACGGTACAGATAAACGCTTCCGCTGTGCTGTTGCGAGGTGCAGCCGAGGTCGGCTCAACTAATGGGCTCTCAAATAGGACGAATAACGACCTACTTCATAATAGGGGGCAGAGCGCCATAAAAAAGAACGAGGTTAACCACTGAAGACATCCCCTCGCTACGGAGGGTTGCCACATTTCTTAATGGCTGAGCAGACACGTTTCTGTGCCCTCGACGATCACGACAAACATTGGGGATGACCCTGTCCGCCCGTCCGTAGACCTTAGATCCGAAAATAGTCAACAGATTTCAATTAAATTTGTTATTCAGCCAGTATTTTTCACAGTACAATCCTTACTTCACATGAAGTAAACAACAAACTACAGCTGTTCTAACAAACAAGTCATCGGACGTAATTTCAAACACAGATAATATTTATTAAAAACATTTTTCTGTCAAAATGCCGATTTTTATTTTAAACACTTCATCTATAATAAATGTCACACACAATGTATGTCACTGGACAGAATACAGACACATCGAAGTTAGTGCAATGCATAACATATTTTCTATTATTTATCGCCGAGGCGTCATTAAGTTGTTAAAAATATACATTGAACTGCAGGCATATACGGTTATTTAGCGATAAAACCGAAGTTGACAAAATGGCTCCATACATGGCAGGGGTTCTCAGCCCCTTGGGGCCTGGGGTCACATTCCCACTTTCTTATCGACGCAAGTCCCTGGAATTATAAATGAGGGCAATCCATTGAGACTTTAACGTAATTAATTAAAAATGATACTAACTTAATAGGTCTGTAGCAGACATTTAAACTTATGCTTAATATTCATTAATTTTCTTTTATAAAATTGATTTCATTTATTAACTATTCACTTCAGATTAATTAAAAATTGAACTTTGGCGGTAGCTGTTTTTTCGTCATAAAGAATAACACAGTATAAAAAACGTATACGCGGGCCGCATGAAATATGTTGGGGGGCAGGGGGTTGAACCCCTAATCCCTGAAATATGGTTTCCCAGAAATCAGGCAAACAGCAAAAGACTTCGCGTCAGGTCTTAAGGGAGTGTTGGGGCTAAGAAGTAAAGAAGGTAGATCTAAAACATTTTTAACCTCTATACTAGATGTAGGTAAGTGGTCGGCTTGACGCTCTGTCCACTTTAACCCCAAACTCAAAATATAAGAGGCTGGATAGGTTCTGCATCTGGTAAGAAAGTCGTGAGGGAAAAACAAATGCTGTCCGCGCCGGGAATCCAAGACATTGCCAGACACTCTACTGACTAAACCCTCTCACTCTGTATATAAGTTTATAAACATTTAGGGCCATCTTTGAGCAAAGGATCACGGGTTTCTAACCTGTGTCATATTTAGGTCTCAATACAAAAATGTTCTAGCAGCCCGAGGCCGCCAACGCAGAGGAAAGTAGCTGCTCTGATTATGACGATTTCCCAACTTCACCAACAGTGAGTGATTTTTCGGTTCGAGTGTGTACACATCGCTTGAGTGAAGACAGCTTCGTGTTGTATCAGTCCGCCTGTCCTAATTAAACTAATTTGCATACACACCTGCCTGCCTACACCGTTCAATAGCACAAGGGGTATCTATACTAGAAATTGGTGGCTGGCGATTTAACGATGTTCTGTTAACTGATGCTATCCTGGGATTAACCTGAAAAGACTACAGTTCGCAGACTATTAACGAGTATTTATCACTCACAGAGGTTGCATGGCGACATGAGATGATGGATCTACGAGGTGCGATCGGAAAGTTTCAAGACTGCGCCTATAAAAACCCGTACACTTATCTCAGGTATTAAATTCATCCATCACCCTCGAAGTAGTTCCCCTGGGAGTGAACACAACGATCCCAGCGCCGCTGCCAAGCCTGGAAGCATCCCGGGAAATCTTTCTTTGTCAGCCTGTCAAGCACCATCTGCGATTCTGCCTGAAGCTCTTCTATCGTCTCAAATCTCCTTCCCTTTAGCTGAATTTTCATCTTGGGGAAGAGGAAGAAGTCACACGGAGCTAAATCCGACGAATAAGGAGGGTGCGGGATGACGGCCATAGTGTTTGAGGCCAAAAACTGCCGAACTTTGAGGGCGGTGTGCGCTGGCGCGTTGTCATGATGCGTCGCATGGGGAGTTCTTCGTTTAGAATCAGCTGACAGGTCCCATAGCCTATCCCAACAATGTCGCACAAGTCGTTGATGGTACGACGTCGATCTTCGTAACATTTTCGGGCGTTGTGCTCGAAGATGGTCGTCCAGAACGCTCGTCATCATCGACAGGGGTTCGGCCATTTTTAAAACGTGAATGCCACCCAAAAGTTTGTGCACGACCCATTGCGGACTCCCCAAATGCTTGCTTTAGGATTTCATAGGTTTCCGTAGCCGTTTTGGCGAGTCTTTGGCAAAATTTGATTTGTTCATGAAAATCCGCCATTCCGAAATCGCAGGAGGGTCGGTGTAATGCACTACCAAAACGCCCGTAACTAAGAAACAAATGCTAATTCGATGATGCCGGCTGGCACACTGATTCACTATGAATGTAGGCCGCACCCCCTAGCGGCAGAAGCTCGTACTACATCCGGTTCGCCCTCTATTGACACAGTCTTGAAACTTTCCGAACGCACCTCGTATAATCTGCGCTCGGTCCAAGGTTCATAAGATAATTTAACGAGGCTATGTCAATGACAGGCAGCGTCAGATTACATGACAAATTTGCATTTTGTTCCCTAGTTGAAGGCATCATCCTGCTATAAGCCTGTGTGTGTGTGTGTGTGTGGGGGGGGGGGCTAAGAAAACCCATTGTTAGGTGTTCACACTCAGAGAAGAACACCTTATGGGCTGGTCTGTCCGTCCTAATCAATTTCATTGTTGGAACTGTAACAATAGTATCGCGGCTAACATTAGGGGTAAATATCTTGAGATCAATGTCGGAAGACAATGCTCAGGAACAAATGTTTGGGCTCACAATAGCGCACGAATGGTCTATGAAGATGACTATCTTCTGAAAGATTGTCCTTGATGGTGGCAAGAAGAACATCTGAAACGTCGGTAAACTGCTAGAAACCTACACGGCGTAAGAACCAATAAGATAACTATCTTAGATCTGTTTGATATTTACAAAACATATGACCGCGCAACGACGGACGTAGATAATAGAAAATGTTTGTCCTGTCGATGCCTTTCGTTTTTAAAACTAGTTCAGTGTTTATTTCTTGCACTGAACTAACTTTCATGTGCAGCCTAAGGAGCTGACGTGTCGTTATAGCTTACTTTCTTTATGGTGTTTATTACAGATGTACGTAGATGAATAAAATATACACACAGTTAAGCAAAGGTTCATTAAAGACAAACAAAGCGCTCGTTAGTTGTCCGGGATTTCCTAAAATAATAACATTCGTAATTTATCATGACAATTTTATGAATATAACTATCAGAAAGTACACTTTATATTAAAGTATAATTCATATAGGATTTGAGATCTTCTCGGGCAATCAGCCGCGTTAACTGGTTACCGTAGTAAACCTGTATCAAGCGACTTCCGAGGAATCCAGTCACATCAGAACCCTGACGATGGGGACAGAGTTGGTTCCCGAAACGTCGGCTTACTACGGTAACCAGATAACACGGCTCATTACCCGAGAAGATTTTATTGAGTATAATTCATATTTCAGCGTCTCTGTGATATACGTACCTCTGAGACTAGGGTTTTTCTTCCCCCTTCGTAACGATCTTGGCGTCGGTCTGCACGTACTCAGCCTCTTTGGGAACGAGAACATTGCAAGGGACGCCAGGAACAGCAGGGCCGACACCATCACCAGTCCTGATGAAACGCACACACATCAGCAACCATACCGTCACACCAAAAGCTGCTGGAACGCAGTAACTATCAGCATTTTAAATATCGATATGCTACTAACAGTTCAAGCCGCCAATTTTCAAACAGTGGACGTTTTAAATTGCCACCGAAACGTAAAAACAAGCATGAAAATTTATTTTTATTATTTGGAGAGTTTGATTGGATTATTCTGAAGTGATCGGGGGCAGAAGACAAACCCCGAGAAGAATAATGTAGCTAAGAAACAGTTAAATAATTACAAATCACTCGCCCTGATTGTACATACTTCACATACATATTGAAAGACAAAAATTACATAAGTAATAATTAATTCCAACATGATATTCTGGGTTTTTGCGCCTTGTAGACTAGTCGGCATCGACCAACAAGTCTACACGGCGCCAAAACGCAGAATATCATGGAATTGAACAAAGTATACAGTGGACCTCACTCAACTTCCTACAAAAAGTGCAAGATAATTACAAATTTAAATCACAGCTTAACAAATGTTGCGCGGGTTATATTAATCCACGAATGCAATATCTGCGTTGACGTGTGAAATGCAATCCAGAACGTCTTACGTTCGCCATGATAACTTTCATCAACACCGAACTTTTAAAATTTCAATCAACTAACTCAATTGTGAAAAATCTTTCATGAAAGGTTTACATTGTGTCAGTTAATTTAGAAACTCCATGCATTTATGAAACCCACAGGTTCAACATCGTGTTCATAAAAGCCGCCTTGTGTCTGCGAAGGAATTCAAAAATCTTTTGTGACATTTAGTAATAGGTCTATCCTAGTTTCTTTCACAGTGAGAGGCTGTTAGCCCCACGGCTAATCCCCAATCTGGAGCAACACCTCCTTCCGGCTGTCTGACTCCAATCCACATATTCACAACTCTCTCCTCCATTCTAAATCTGAGGACATGCCATACAGTGGTGACACGGGACCCACTTAAGACGGTGAAATTAGATCAGCCACTGTGATACGATTAGATTATGACACACCGAAAATACATTTAAACAATGAAACTATATACACGCACCGAAAAGTGGCTAGACATTAATCTAGACTCAATATCAATTCGTAAGCCTGCGCTATAGGAGGACAATTATGCATTGAACCATGACTGATCAGCTTAACCCAGTCCCTTGTCACTACAAACCCTTATATCATTAGACTACAACGTATTATTCTGCAACTGAAATAGTCTAAATAAAGCGTCTGTTAACTATTTATGTACAATGAGCAGAAGACATTTTTCAATGATGTCTCTTTGAGGACTTGAATAAAGTTCTCGTATTGCCTTCCACACCTTCACAGACGTTTAATCAATGACTGTACAAAATAAGTTCGCGCTGAATTAAGAAAGACATAATTCAGTGCGGCTTGTAACACGACAATAATACAGATGTACACCATCACATGACGTCGAAGAGAAGGCGTGTTGGTAAAGCCCTAAGCATTATTAATCTTAACACTTGAGTAGATGTGAATGATTTGCTTCGTGCCGTCGCCTAGTTTACCTTCCGAGAAACAATGACCAATGCCCGAAGACATTGCTGTCTTCTGTGTTATTGGGTCGTGTAGTTTGGTAGACGTTTACCAACGTTTCAGAGGTACTTGCTGCGATCGCCGTGATGATGGAGGCAGCAAGTACTTCTAAAAAGTCGGTAAACCTATGCCAAACTACAAGACGCAACAACCCAGAAAAGAACCATCTTCATAATCGCCACCGCAAGAACCCTAAATCTCATATGACCAATGTCTACCGGATAGGAACCTGAGAATAGCCTAGATGGGCTGACTGACACGGTTTGTTCCCTGAAACGAGCACACCCGCTCTATTCTTTGTCTCTTTATTTGTGACTTTCAGTTTTGGCTGAGGGTTCCCTCAGTGTTATCTTGATCTAAGAAGGCCATGAAATGTTACAAGTTAATGTAAAGTTGAGTCAAGTGCCACGACGACAAACAGAAAACTGTGCCCGGAACAAAGCTATGCCTACATTAAAAACTTACCCAGCCACCAAGCACCGACCCACCGCGGGTCTGTGGGCGTGATTTTCGGGTCAACTGATAGGTCAGCGTACAGCCGGGTGCACAGCGAACCCAGTATGAACCCCAGAGCCGGCCCCAGTATCCGTACTCCAATTGTTATTGCTGTAACACAGAAAATCAACATGTAACTTGTAACTCAACCAAGATCGGAACGCAGTCCATGAGACAGTATGTTTACTTCTGATATTTTAGCCGGAAGAGGGTTTTTTGTCACTTATGAACTGAGACATCCAGGGACGCAAACACGACTAAAGATAACATTTAAGTTGGAAAGAATTGTTTTAAATGGCGTTCCGTGATACTTTTGCAATACAAAATTATTTACAAATGACTATTCAGCTATTCGACACAGTAATAACAAATTATAACATAGATACATGAACTGGAAGTACGAAAAGAAATGCCTTTTTTGGTAAATATAAATTACGATCAAAGGTAACGATAAATGGCAAAATTGTTGAAAAGGTTCAAAGCTTCACTTTGGTTGCGGGTAGGTCTCATAAATACGACAGAGACAAATACAAAATGTACACAAATTTCAGTGTATTTGTGTGTGGTATAATAAGGAGTGCTTTAAGAAATGAAACTAGAAAGAATAGAATGCGTACATTTTATGATATGTTGGCAGTGCCTGTACTGTTGTATGTTTCTGACAAATGGGCCATGAATAGAGCAGACAGAAGAATAACATAAACAGAGGAAATAAAATTCTAAGATATCGAAGTTGTTGTTCTGGGTCATGCCGCCGCGTGGGCTCGTAGGTAGCTCCAACTTATCTGAAAACATGCTGTCTCCATCTTCAGCCCTAGTGTCTAAACACAAGCCCACACGAAATCATAATATCAACACCTCCCCCTCCGTTAGAATCTCACATCTCCCTTTCTGAGAGACGTTTCTCGGCAGAGGCTACCTCAAAGACCAAGTGTACAATACAAATACTCGATAATTCTTAGGCATTTATGATACGAATGAAATCATTCAGAATACAAAGTTAATTGGCAGAAACATATTCAGCGCATGGAACCAGGAAGAAACGCTCATAGTATCATGAACTAAAAGCCCAAAGAAGTCTGAGATGCTGGAAAGATTAAAGAGATAGAACAGGCCCAGTTTAGAACACGAAGATGGTGTTACCATCTCTACGTGGATAGAAGAATTTTAAGGAAACAATTCTAAGTTTCCCGTGCAGTCCCTCGCAAAAGGTCTCTCTCAATGTCCCACTGTACGTTCATTTTACACGATAGTGCAAATAAAACAAAAGTGAATCTCTATTCCAACTCTCATTACTCGCTCAGTTTTAGTAATACATTTTAAAATCTTTTTATATTTGTTACCATGAAGTAAGCACATACCTTGAGTGGTTCCCTTTAAATACCACGGTGGACCTAATTAGGCTCATCGTAAACTAAAACAACAACATACCGAGCTAATTATACCTTATGGATTAATGGTCAGAAATCATCTTTCATCAGTTCGGCCCACCAAAAAAAGAAACGTGAATATTTGCTTCGTATTTTTGAGGGCATGGTTAGTTATTATTTCAGTTGAGGTATGCAGTCAGTCAGATTCAGAAGCAAAGCTCAAGTATGTGAGGAGTCTTTCTGAAGCCAATCACAGTTATCACGATGCCTTCACGTGTTCAAAACAAATTAGTGTTGGTACCTCACCACTACGAATCTTGCCTAAGGACTTAACATCAGTTCACAAGAACCGGCTCTCTGTGGTATTGTAATGGAGTAGGAGCATTCTCTAAAAATAAAAGTAAGACACCTTTAGGCAATATCGTAATGCATTACAGGCAGACAGACAAGAAGATACACAAAAGAAACTATCAATTATGTCTCCATTTTGTCACAGCTTGTCTGTCTAAAGAGATTTAATTCCCAGAGAGATGAAATAACAGGATGATAGACAAAACTGAGTGACGAGGAGCTTCTTAATTTATACGCATCACCGAACATTGTTAAAATGATCAAATCTATGAAGGGTAAGACGGACGAGGCATGAAGGGATGATGGGGATATCAGAAATACGGACAAAATGTTGGTCGGTAAAAGCGAAAAGAAGAGATGACTTGGCAGATCTACGCGTAGATGGGAATCTTAAAGAAATGAGGTTTGTGGGTGTGAAATGGATTTATCTTAATATGGCACTGCGATGGGCTCTTGTGAACACGGTAATGAATTTTTGTGTTAAATTAAAATGGAAAATCTCTTAACCAACTAAGAAACTGCCAACTTTTGAGAAAGAGAGACAGCATGTTGTTCTCAGTCTCGATTTTTGGCATGTAGTCAGAACCAGAGACGAAGCTGCAATCAAGAGTTCTTTGAGAATTTGCATAGTACCTCGTTGGCCTCGACATTACTCTACGTTAGAATATAAATCCGGAATTTCAACTCGGTCGATCAGTATCCCTAATAAAACATACTGAAAAACTTGTATATCCACGTGCTGGGACAAATTCTGTTATTTCAAAGTACATTTTTAAAATCGCTTAAATGAATTATATATTTGCTAAAATTGGTGGGCGAAAAATTGCATAATTATAATGCAACAGAAATTAACTGACAGCGCTGTGCACTGTTTGACACAGTAATGTGTGTCACCAGGTTCCAACAGGGCGACTCTGAATTCGTACGAATCTCCTAAACAGTGGCCTTGAACACTCCCATGTAATTTCGCATATTTCCACACCTTTCTTGAACTACGTTCAAAACTGTCACCACACTTACCCTGAGGAATCTGCGATATCAAAGACAAATTCATATTTACGGATGAAAGTGAAAGAAATGCATTTGCTATGAAATAAATACCCCAATATATACTTAGGTATAAATTTACTAAAGAATAAAACAGGTCCTAATATATACGAGGTGATCCAAAAGCGCCCACGTTCAACGTCTTGTCATATACAATAAATTGAAGAGTTGAAAGTGGCGATCATACACTCATTTTTATTGGTTCGACGCTATACACTCTGATACTGAAAAAGCGTTTTTAAATAAACTGTAAATAAATAAAATACTAACGCCCTTTGTACTATACCATTCATAACATCCCTGCCATTAGATTCTGTCTAAACCTCTAAACTGGTAAGAACTTCTATCAAGAATTTATGACGTCTTTCAATTTTTTCAGCTGGGACCAAAAAGTTATAAATCAACTGTGATACTATTTATTGGGAAGTTTATAGACATGAATGTCATCAGTAGACCCCCACATCATAATCAGACTACAACATGGAAAAAGTCCTGACAAAGAATAATTTTAAGTACAACATATTTGTTGGACAACATCCTCGTAGTTTAAACCCGCCGCCATGTTTGTTTGTAATTCTTAACAAGTACAAATATTTTATGAGTAATCTTTAGCTTCGTTTAAGAACAATCCCAATACAAAATTTAGCACGCACGCCTACGTTCAACGGCTCATTAGCACTTATCAACGTCAAAAAGAAATCGTAACTTTATATGCCGTGTCGGCTGTTTTTGTTTTACAATTCACATAACTTACATACCCAGAAAGCACACACGGCCGCCATGTTGGTATGTATGATGGGGCGTTAGAACCATAATGTAGGTCTGTGTTACATTTATAACTTTTATTTGAAATACGTTTTGATGTGGCGTATATTTAAGGAAACAAGCCTTCGAGGAAGACGTGCGACTCTACGCGTTCATTCAGTGCATTTCGATCAAACAATCGATAACAAAATATGCTTTCGTCAATGCAATAAATAACAACTTTATTGCGCTGAATGCGACAGACTTCCGAACTACGATGAAATGCAAATGCAGGAAACTAGGAGTTGCCATGCTAATGATCTGAGAGTCATTATTTAGCAGTGACATTATACCAACTACATATAGAACGACAGTAATTACCCATACTAGTTCGTTTCTAGGCCATTTAACGATTTTGTCTTGGGTTATTTAGCGTCGAATAAAATAATCATGAACGATGACTGGAAAGGATATGGGAATACCGAGCAGAGAGATTTAGTGCTTCAAATGTCGGCCGATGTACCGGCTCTGAGAGAAGTCTTCCATCGGCTTCCTCAGTCTCAAAGGCGAATGCCTTTCAAATTCTTACACACCACCTTAAACCGCTCTACAATTACAGCCTATACAGCTGAAACGGCGTCGTGAAAAACCTAGGAACTTCGGTTGCGGCTTTCAAATAAACATGGTCTGAAATCCGGTCACAGACCTACATGTTTTCATATGGGAACGTTACGATAATGGGGTGAAAGTCAAATAGCCCTAAACCCGTAACTGTCTCCTTACACTGAAAATACTGCTGTATCATGCACAGACAGTAAGGTCTTGCTTCAAGGAATAAAATTAAATCCTTTCCATTCAGAAAGTGAAGTCTCTTGCGTAAGCCTCGCAGCGATTCACTGTCAAGTCGAGCCGGCCACTGCTGGAACCGGTTTAGGCACATATGACGGTCGTACAAACGAACTGTCACTAACTGCATAAACTGCACTAGACATGCATGTGTACTGAAAACAGGAATGGAAAGCTGCATTCGTACGCTGCGTGAGATTTTGCAAAACTCGCTCTGGCCTTGAATCTCATATAATGCAGATTAATATCTATCTGCACAGCTAATAAATAACGCATACGCTGCACAGACATTAAAGTTGTATTTTTTACTTGTATATCGTTAAATATGCATGAAGCTGAAAACGTTACTTGTAAGTTGTATATTTTTAATTAGGTCCACATCATATTTCATGAACATGGTTTTTGTGAGATGAGTAGCTTTTGAGAAATGTTATAAAGTAAGACTCATGGTTCGTGAACACTTTGGGCTACATTGCATTTCAAAAGACAAATTATATATGACTTGAAGCTTTCACAGCGACTGAACTCGATAAAATCCTCTCGGGCAACAAACCGTGTCCGTTATGGGCAGAAGCCCAATGTTTCGAAGACTTTCTCCGCTGCCATCATCAGGAGGAGAATTATCATTCCCCTGATGACAGAGACAGTAAAAGTCTCCAAAACGATAGATTTCTGTCCAGAATTGGCATGGCTTGTTGCCGAAGATGATTTTATCGGATAAAGATAAATTCGTCCAACAATTTTTTTAATTAACACATCGGCTTAACATTACATCGGTATCTACAGCGGAATATCGGATATAAATATTCCGGACTATCACAACCTACCGAATTCGTTTTCATTTAACGTACTGCCTACGAATAACGCATAAAAGCTACGAACAACATAACATAATTACGCGTTTACTGTTCAATTAACCATCATCACACAAAACCTTAACTGTTCCTTGTTTCCCTGACATGAATAGTTGAAGTCGGGCTTCCTTCACCCCGAGATATGGTGGAGACCGACGACAGCACCCGATGGAAACAAGATCAGAGACATCTTCCATCCATTGGAATTATTATTTTCCAGTGTGTACACCCAAGTCATTCCAATTATTCTTAACAGATGTCGCCAGTCGCCAAAGCACAGGATCGCGTGCATTAATCACAATCGTGGCGAGCCACGATTTATTGAGACGAGTTCCGACACGTGACACATAAATTTTTTAACCCACGGATTATAACTTGCGTCCTTGCTGCGTATTGATTTGTCTGCACAGCAGCGAGATGCGTTGATGTATGTAGTTCTTGACATACTTGCTGGACAGACAATTGAGATGTCGAAATAAAGAATAATTTACAAAGGTCCAGTATATGTCAGCGAAAGATTTCAGACTCAAAACACAGAACATTTGTACCTTTTTTAAAAGTAACAAATGTTGTTGAACAAACTTTCTCCACCCGACTGACGTCAATAAAGCGAGACTGGTTAAACAAGTTCTCGCACACTTTTATTCCAACAATGGAGTAAGTTCCTTTTCAACAAAGGCTTTCAAAATTATTTGTGTAATCCGAGTTAGGTCTGGGCGTGTGAGATAAATAACATACACGTTAAATAGCAGTTAACCATCTCACCGACGCCGCTGTCTTTTCCAATGGAACACAGATGGCAGCCAGCACATACGTTTCCAACCAACAGCTCCCTCTTCTAACATCACAACAGCTAAGTATACCCTGAAGAGATCACTCTGGATGTCCTGGGTTCTTTTACAATGCAATCGCCTCGCAGATAAGGGCGTTCTAAAATTTGTCAATGTACAGGGCAAGCTACCAGTCTTACAATAGATTCAACTGCTTTCTTCCTGATCATAAGCAAAGGCGAACCAGACTTCTGCACCAGAATTCTGATGTCCCGGGATTCAACTATGCACACAACTGAAATCCTGTCATTGCTTAATCAAATGTTCCGTGGTAGGCAAGTTATACTACAATCTTGCATTGAAATACGAGGACGTTCATACATAACCGCATTTCAGTAACACACGTGTTCGGATAATTAACACGAAACAGTGAAAAGAAAACGAAGAAAGATAAAAGGTACAAGAAAATTGCGAAATAAGGAGAAAAGCTGTCAAAAAAGTAAAGGACAACAGAAAGAAACAAAGGAATTTGAGATAAATAAGAACGGTCGTGCAATAATAACAAATAAATAAATAAATTTATTCAAGGCTGGCTTCTCACTGCGGAGGTTCAGGATCAATCCATGGCAGGCCAACCGGGATTTGTGGTGGACAGAATGATACTCCGAATATTTCGGTTTTCTCCTATCAATCAACGTTCAACCAAAACATTATCTGAATGATACTCCGAATATTTCGGTTTTCGTTCAACCAAAACAACACACACAACTAGCATTATCTCATTAGAGGCCATAGTGAGAAGCGACTCTTTTATCAACCCACTCCTATACAATAACTAACAGAAAACGTGAAACTTAACAAATTCAACTTACCAAAATAGAGCGGTGACTCCCTGCTGGCCACATTATCGTCTATGTACGGTATTCCCAGTGTATATACAGCTGTCTGTCCCATGCCGACTCCGAGCAAACTTGTGAAGAAGATGGCCAGCACAACAGGTGTGATCCTGGAGGCGTCTCTCGTCGCGAGAGCGGAACTGGTCGTCATGTTGTGGATCACGGCCGTGTGTGACGAGTTGCAGATGTTAGGCGGGATGGGTTCCGAGGTGTTACCTCCGTAAGGACTTCGGACTACCGACGCCACACCCCCAAATAACACGTCATTGTCGCGAATCAGCTGTTTACCAAACAGGAAATGAGGTAGCGAGCATGTGAATGACGACACGGCGAACAGCACCATCCCCCATGCGATCCACTTCGGCCTGTGACCTTGACCTCCATAGTAAGTTAATAATAACGACGAACCAATCTGTCCAATTTCTGTAGCACTCATGATAATGCCCGTGGTTTTAGACTGGATTTGAAACAGTTTTTCTAACGTCGTTATCACGCTTACGAAATACGTGTAGTACATACCTTGCAGAACCCATGTAATACAAAATGTCACCAGGAAGGCCTGTTTGGAAGCAAAGATTTGCATCCATTTTGGGGCGCAAGGTCCTAAACCACATTCCATATCCTCAGCCTTGTTGGCATCACTGTCTTTACCGTCATCTTCCTCTTCGTCCTCTTCTTCCGTAGCAGAAGAACATCGAACTTTGTTTAAAATTCCAACACCTGTTTCTGCAATGGGATGACCATTCACTTTGACAACTCCATTTGGCGTCGGTACTTTGCCATTCTTGTTGCTGACAACTGCTAATGCATTATTGTTACTCTGGGCCAGCATTCCAGTTTCCTCCATGGGCTCCATTTTTTCCTTTTCCTCAAGATGTCCTGTGACGTCCCAGTACGCACCGTTACCTTTAAGCCTCTCATCAGCGTCAATGATGGCGCTTTTGATGCTGTCACTTATAAGTGTTGTTGATGCATCCACCGAGAGTGATCCCATGTTGTTGGCACATCCAGTAACGCCTTCGGGACTCATGTGTTTGTCATCCGGCGATCGGGTGTATCGGTTACGCCACTTACCCATCAGGAAACGCGTGTTTCCAAATCACCTGCAAAAATACAAGAGCAAATCTTAATACAAATGCATTTTAAAAGAATAGCAATGTACTCTTTCAAGCACGTAGTTAATCTAAATATTAAAACTGTTCTTACAAATTTAGTTCTAACGCAAGAAAACACACACACGCGCCTCAATTGCAGAGATCAACTGAAAAATATGTTAGAGAAATAGTAGCTGCTTATTCTGTGAATCACACAAAGTCTGTATATACAGAGTTACTGAAAAATACAGCAGGTGGTAGTTCGACATACAGCTACCATTTATGATGCTCCAAAAGGATGAAATCTACACGCTAGAAAGCGTTGAAGTACTGTGTACTGTGAATGATAAATTATAACACGCTAGAAAGCGTTGAAGTACTGTGAATGATAAATTATTAAATGATCCTGGTATAGTTTCTGCCGCTATCTCACCACTTTCTTAGAATGGCTGAGGAATACCACGAAGAACTTTAGTCAGAATAGCCAATCACTACATCGAGCTGAGGTTCGGATAGACCCTAAAATAGGTCACGGCAGGCAACGCCGTCTTTCCGTATACTTTCAGTCAATTTACAATCATCCTACAAATCAACACTAAATAAACTGTAGACATATTGTCAAAAACGCGTTGTTAAAAGACGAAAGAATCAATGACCATTCATTATTAAAAAACGTGTTTTAGGGCTGGTGTATTCTGTTGTACTTCAAATGGATAACTGCTACTTGCATGCAGAAACAGTTCTCGGGTGCAAGGTTTTAATTTGGCATTGTTTAAGGCTTACAATTAGTATATACTTGGTAGTCCCTGATGGAACCCCAGGGATCAGAAGGCCCTCATGCTGATGACGTGCAATCTGCGCCAGAAAATCTTTGATCCTTGAGCACTAATGTCCTTTTAATAAAGATCGTAGTTGAACGATCTCACCATGTCTCCATCATACATATGCTTGCGCAACATATTTAACGCAAGCGTATACAACTCGAACACCTAATCTTTTCTACCGACAAAAACATGTCTGTGAGATTCAGAAAAATTCTTCCGACATAAAACCACGACATGACTGTTACGTCGTTTAACGACGGCGATTAAAATATAGGAAGTGTTCTACAGAAATGAATAAGATTTCATTTTGATGGAGTTCAGGAACGAGGTGCCGATGATAATATTTTATCTAAACGGCGATGAAGTGACAGAAGGCTGGAGAAAGAAACAGTGTAACAAGGAAATTCATCATATGTACTTCTTACAAAATATATCTGGGTTATCACGTGATCAAATCGAGGAGGATAAGACGGGGGAGGTATATAGCAAGTTTGGGGAAGTTGGGAAATATAAGTTTTCTTTGAAAAACCAGAACGGCAAAGCCCACTCTGAAGACCTACGTGTAGATGGGAAATATTGTGGGGGATGTGGAAAATACATTCATCTACCTAAAGATAAGGACCAGTGACGGAGTGTTACGAAGATAGCAATGCACCTTCGGATTCGATAAGACGGGGAATGTCCTGAAAAGCCGAGTGTATCATTAGTTCCTCAAGGACACTGCTCCACGCAGTCAGAACAGAATAAGATGAGCATATGATCATGTAACGTGGAAAGGCAAGGAGATGTTCGTGGCCTGACTGGAAGCACCATATTGGATTTCGCTTTACAGAGAGTAAATAGAACCACGAAAACATTAGCATAGCCAGTAAGCCGATAGAAATTTAAACCGGACAGATCACGAAAATAAACAATGATTCAACTCACTACCTAACCATCCAGCCATTTATCTCAACCACCTAATTCACTCCTTATCTACCATCTAATCTAAGAAACACAATGGATGAGTACTTAAACCTTTTAATTAGTGTAATCCCTTCCCAGCCATCATCGCTCATGACGTAACGTGTGACAGTAATGAAATGTTATGTGGGAACGTTAAGTTGTATGTGTATGCAGCCATCATCGCTCATGACGTAACGTGTTACAGTAATGAAATGTTATGTTGGAACGTTAAGTTGTATGTGTATGTACATTTTGTGACCATAACTATAACTTACATACTTTTATTTATTTATATATATATATATATATATATATATATATTAATTCGTCATTACAGCTACACAACCAGTGAAATACATGCAGCGTAGTTAATATATCGATGTGTTGAGTGATCAAATAACTTAATTAGCCTGAAGTAAAATAACTTAACCATGAAATGGGATGGTACAGTGGTAAGAGTGGTAACACTCGGTTCGAATCCTGACTGTGAACCAATTTTCCTCAAACTCAGTGGTTTCCCTCAGTCTGTCCAGGCAAACGCCCAGACACTATCATGAAACAGGCCTCGACCTTTATTTACATCACTCCGATTCATTACACTCTTATCATATTCAGTGCGTTGTAAAATAACAAAACACAGTGGCTGATCCTGATAATAGGAAGATTTACAGCATGCATGATCTTGAACCAGAGTAGCGAGTTTCAGACAACTTCGGAACATCATGATTTGTGGTGCAGAGGGACGAGAAATGCTTACAGATGTTGAGAGGGAGATCCTGAAGAAGAGTGAAACTTAGCAATAGATGGAAGGATACTATTACGACTGGCCTCGAAGTAGGGAGTGAAGGTGTGGGCTGGATTTGTCTGACTTAGAATAAGGTGAAGTGGCGGGTTCTTGTGAACACGGCAATGAATCACCTGGTTGCGTAAAAGACAAAGAATTTCTCAACTAGACGAGCGACTGTTTTCATCTCAACAAGGACGCTGATCCATAGTGTAATTAAATGAAGAATGAGATGGGTGGGGCAGCATCACAAACTGGAAAAATATCTACAAGTACTTTGATGGAAAAGCTGAATGGAAAACAGCTCTTGTTAGGCCTAGATGTAGATGTGACAATATTCAAATGGATACTAAAGAAACAGGACGTGAGAGTGGCTTAGGATTGGGGCAGCTATAATGAACGTTCAGGCTTTATAAAAGCGAGGAATTTCTTGGCCAAATAAGTAGGTCTAAACGTCTTTAGAAACACAGTGAACCATGGAGTCAGTTATTTTGCAAGGAGTTACTTTATATGAATACTTTGCTGTGTTACGTTAACGTAATGAAAATGTCTGGCTTGAACCACAAAACCATCATATTCTGGGCCAAACAATAAAAGCGACAATAATATTCAAAATCTTAATGATGATTTTTGCTCCTATTACACTGTCTGTCTAACAGACATGAAAAATTTCGCAAACAAAAATCAGTCTTGGTAGAGGGCATTCCAGTGTTGTACCCTGTGTAATTTCAGACTACAAAGTAGTGACGTACCTCCTCTAGCATTACTGATATTAAAAGTCCTCGACACGTTATATTTCATTATCTGGACTGATAATTATTTTTCTTCCTTGTTTGTTTTTAGAGATTTTGTTATCTTTACTTCAGCTTTTGATATAACAGCTTCACATAAACGTTACATCTTCAATACTTTATATAATAGAACTAAATGAATACCAAAAGGAAAATATTTTTACGGTTAGAAGGAACTACAGAAAGAAAAAGATAAGGAATAAATGTTTACCCTTTAAAACCCAGTGTCAACTACATGTTCCACCTACTTTAACAATCAATGTAATAGTTTTTGTTTGATTCTCACTGTAAACAGTGGTTATTTCCTTAAACAGCATTAAGTAGCTGACCTTTGTAATAGCGCGTGTTGTGTTTTCTTTGCAGTACGGACCAAAGTCTTAAATACACTCAGGCGAGCTTCGGTTTCAAAGGGTTAAATTAAAGACTTTGACTTAAGGTTAAGTTACTTCCTTGGAACTCTATTACCAAACTGCCCCAACTCAACTAAATGACAAATTTTAATGAAGTTCAGTGTAAACAGTATGCAAATAGAGACATCTGAACCATTGTAGTACGCCTGCGTTTCAATTTACCATGAACAATATTATCGTGGTGGTCATGGGAATATGTGAAGTGGAAATAACACAATGGTCTGTCATAGGTTCTCAGTGCAAGAACGCCTGGTTACCATGACAACAGACGGATGTTTGTCAAATCCTTCGTACGAAGAAAGGGGCGTCATGTGATGTTCCCATCATAATGGGGCTGTTTCCAGACGCCTGGGTCAACTTAATAACAGAAAGTACAAATGGAAAGGGTGGCAAGAAGTTATTTCGCTGAAAGGCACACAGAATGTCTCGCCGGACAATGACCGGCTTTCATAATTACAGAGAATAAGCAGTACAATGAGTAACATGAAATAAATGAGTTCAGTTGAAAGGTCACGTCTTTAAGCTTGTGCTAAATGATAATAATATATTTTATTTTAGGTCAGTGCACTAACAGCTAAATGACCAATTACAGGCACAGCACAAACAAAAGATTAATAAACCAAAATAACTTGCAATAAAATTATTATATTTATAATATATATATAATTATACTACATAAAGGTAAACTAATGAAAAAATGCTACTAACACAAAACGTTATTTTAAAATATACGTATGTGTAACCAACTGTTCAATATATATTCTTATAGCTTTACAAACTGTAATTTTAGACTAATGCCCATGTAACGGAGAAACAATTTTTACGCGAAGCAACAAGAGTAAACAAAGAAATATCTATAGAATTTCGAAAAAAGAATGGGAATTCCAACAGTTTCGAAGAATTTAGGAGAGCCAAAATGTAAACCACTGTAAATATTAGCAACAGGATCAAATCGGGGCCTCCTATTGCAGAAGGTATGAACATTTAGGTCCTGTAGGATTTACGATAATATACTTAAGGGCAGTATCGATAGTAACACAGGGCTAAACAAACTTCTGCTAAACGCGATCATGCTTGCTGGCATCAGTAGAAGTTAATGCATTCAATGCAACAGAAGCATATTCAAGTTTAGATCTCAGTAATGCAAAACACGACACAAAAATTGGGAGGTTGTAAAAATATATAAACCACGTGATGCTGAAAATAAATTTCAGTATCAAGAATTATTCCCTGATCTTTAACAGTGTCCGTACGA